GCGCACTTAGCAAGGCCAGGGGGTCTGTTCAGGGGGGGGAGAAGCCAACGCGGTAGTGAACGTGGTAGTCAAGATGGAAGTGAAGGGGGTAGCCAAGACGGCAGCCACCGCGCCAGTCAACATGGCAGTGCTGTAGCTGCTCCCCCCTTTGCGCGTTACCTTTCGTGTCCGTCTTTATGGTCCAGAGCAACGACTTGGCCAAGGCATACCCGGCATTCTGCTTTATGTAGTCTAGCTCCTCCTGCGTGGTACCCTTGGCGGTGGCCTCCATTGTGAGGGATGGGCGGGCTGCTCAGTGGAGGAATCCTTTTCCGTTCTCGCGCTGTCTTTCGTGAGGACTTTGGATGCCTCTTTCGATGCGTCTTTATCTATGCGCCTTTCTCTACGTTTTGTTGTTTCTCTTTACTTTGTTTCGCTTAATGGCCGAGCTCCCTGTGCCGCCTCTTTTCGATGTGCGTTTTTTTTTTTTTTTTTATTTCCCTTTCACGGAGAGAGACATGAGCGGGTAGGCGGTGTTGGAAAGTTGGACCCCAAGAAGTGGGAAAAAGGGAAAAAAAAGGAGAGGAAAAGAAAAGAAAAAAAGGAGAAGAAAAGAAAAAGAAGAAAAAAAAAGAAGACAAAACAATAAAGGACACTACACTACATTACGTCACACTGCTACAGGCAGGCTGACAGCCCCGTGTGTCAAAGCGAAACGGAGGGACGATGCTTCCAGTATCTCAGTCTTCACTCGATTCACCAAAAACGCAATCGGAAGAGTTTCGTCCTTCGCGCGCCGATTGACTTCATGGTAGAGATATTCACCGTGGGGACCATGCTTCAGAAAAGTGTAGCATGTCTGCATTGCCACTTGGCTGAGTTGCTGCTTCCCTGCGTTACCGCTCATTCTTCCCTGCGCTTCCCTCCCCTCAGCGGTGGGGCGCCAGGCGGTTGGCCAGCTTCTCCCACTTCTGGTATGACCAGGCAGTCAGCAGGGCCTGGTTTTTCCTTGGAGGGAGTTTTTCCTCCGTGTATCGCGCAGAGTAGCTACCTCCACTATTGGCGGTATTGGCGGCATCACCACCGCCGCTATCGCCGTCACCACCGCTCCCTCCACCCAGACCCTCCTCGGTGTGCCTAAACAAGTCACTCGTTCGGATGCACAGAACTTTATTGGCATCCCTATAGAATTCAACGTGCCCCTTGGAAACAAGCAGAGTCACCAGGAACAGACGGAAGGTCGTTTCATTGAACCCATTAATGGGATCACAATCGACAATAAAATTTAAAAATGGAATGTTCTTCTTCTCTTTCTCTAGTTGTCCTAACTTTTCTTTTAATCTCATTGATTGCTCGTAAGTCTCTAGTTTAATCTCCGGCTCGTTCTCATGTGAGAAGTCTTTTAACTTTCTGTAGGTGGTGTTTCCGAGTGTCTGTTTGGTCCTGCTGTGTGTCCTTTTCTGTTCTTTCCTATGGAGACTGAATCCGTTTTCGCTATCCAGGAAGAGATTCAATGGGATAGTGTCGTAGTTTATGGGACAGAAAGGGAGAGTCCCTACGGTGAAGTGCTTCGAGAGCTTTGTGAAGCTTAGCCGCTTCGCTCGTCCATGTGGTGAAGTTTCCCTGGGCTGGTCCTCTCCCGCGCTAGCGAGGTTGGCCGTGTTTGCGGCGTGTGCTGCATTTCCCGCTTCTTCCCCTTCTTCCCGTCCCTCCTCGGAGAACTCCCCCGAGAGGCTGTCCAGAATCAGCCTCAGCTTCTCCTTCAGCGAAATGCTGCTAAGTCCCTCCGCCTTGAAGTTAATGATTTTGGACACCTGTTTCCCATACTCACATGATTTGTGAAGGGTACTTATTTTGGTATCTAAATTGAGAACAATCTTTCGATCTGTTCTTATTACTCTCTTCAGGGCATTGTTCTGTTCCGGCTGGACCAGTTCATCGATATTCAGCTTATCGATTTCGCCTTGTATGTACTCCTCATCGATTTTCGCGGAGCCGTGAGGCTTACTTGCGCTTGACTCCCCGTCCTCCGACATGGCTTCGCGCAGAAGTAGCCGACGTTGAAGAAGTTGATCGATCTTCCCATCTTCGGACGGTGGCGAAAGCTACTGACGCGGGTACACACCAGCAGGAGCGAACCCGCTTATGTTTCCACTTGAGCGGGTATGCAGCCCCACCGAGGGAGCCTTGCCCTAACGGGATCGTCCCCCCCACCGCACAACCCAGTCGGGCTGAAAATCAAAGGGTTTGATTCCCCTTCGCTTAACTTCCAAACATACGTCGCGCAAAACGGCATAGGGAACCTTCCCGAACTGATGAACAGGGAGGGGTTCCCTCGAACTGACGTGAAGGTCTCTTTTCCTTTTTAGCCATAAAATTGAATGTACGTGGCGAAAAAAAAGAAAAAAAAAAAAAGTTTTTTCCGTTTTTATCAAACAAAAAGGGGACACAGGGGAAACGCCTTCTTCGGAGTGCACACATGAATGAAAAGGGGAGCACGCAGGAGGGGGGGGGTTCATAGGCAGAATCCCCTTGGCAGAAGAATATGCCTGTTCGCAGAAGCCCCTTGACAGTTGCATGCAGAAGTTTTGCGTATGCACGTGCCAATGCTCAGCGCAGTTCATCCCCCCCTTAGCTTGGGCAGAGAAAAATAACGCGGGGAAACAAAAAAGGGGCGAAAGGGGGCCAAAAGGGGGTCAAAAGGCGCCTCCGCGTCAGGGATGATTCGGAGTGGAACGTGGTCAGCGGGGGTGTGGCGCTCACGTGCATACGGATTGGATATGCCCTGCACACGCACTGCATAGGCATCCTCCCTGGTGTTTACGAACGCCTCGGATGGGACGTCTCCACGTAGGTGAGTACCACCACCACCCCCTCTCGATTCACATTATCCCATTGGTTATTCTCTGAAAGTAGTCATACTGGACGCTTCGGAAGTTGTTTATGGAGGATTCAATGAGGGAGTTGATTCGTTGGATGCACTGAGGGGTGAAAGGGGGTGTGCGTAGGGGGGGTGTGAGTAGGTGGGGTGTGCTGAACGGAACACATACGATGACGCGGGTGGCGACGCTGCTGCCGACGCTGCTGCCGACGCTGCAAGGATGCCGCTGATAAAGATCGCCCTCTTACCACGTCAACAGCCAGGTTCGTCATGAAGCGCTCCTTCAGCGAGTCGATGCAGAACTGGGTACCGTTCGCAAAGCAGGGAATTTTTAAAGCTGCGCAGGAGGGGGGTGGCAAAATGGGGGGTAAATTGAAGGGGTCGTTACAGAGTAGGGGGTTACCACGCCGCGGGCATGCTGAGGACATGCTGCTCACATCCGGCTTACACACCGCGGACATCTTGCTCACATGCCGCTTACACGGCGCTCCCTCCACACCGCTTACAGAGCGGTCGGCTGCACCGACCTGGCATCATCAGCTCGACGAAGAGAATAATCTCCTCCGAGTGTTTGCGAGCCTCGAGAAAGCCACTGACGATGAGCCGCCTGAAGTACTCGTAGTTCTCCGACTTCTCTCCGTCCATTATGTCTAGATACTCTTGGGTCAGCTTAAATGGGGAGGTCTCAAAATTGACATTCCCAGGAGAGTTGGTGAGCATGAAGCCGTAATCTATATGGATGAGATGACCGTCGGAGTCGAGAAGGAGGTTCCCGTTGTGCCTGTCCTTCACTTGGAGGAGGTACGAGATGAGTGAGTAAGCGGCGTGACTCTCGATGAAGTTCTGCAGAGGGGGTGAAGAAGTGGGTGACGAAGTGGATAACAAAGTGGATAACAAATCGGATAACAAAGTGGGGGGTGGGGTTGACAACCCCCACAGGAGAGATAGCGGCAGAAACGGCAGCGCTTAACCACGCCGCGGATGCGCTGACTGAGCAGACGGCTGCAACCCTGCTCACCTTCTTGGCCTCGAAGATGTAATCCGCGAAGACGACGTTGAAGATGGTGGAGATGCTGTCGGCGCCAAACTTCCGCTTGAGAGAGTCGACCGAGCAGGTGTCATGGACGTATTCAATGATGCCGGAGTTGGCACCGGTGACTAAAATTTCGTAGGGACGCAGCCAGAGCGGCAAGCCTGCATTCTCGAAGATAACCTTGAACTGTCGAATCAATTGGGACGCCAGCAGCTCCTGTCTCAAGTCATCACCACCTTTGACGATTACGCATTTGAGATTCCATGTCTTCAATTTCCCATATGGAGATGTTTTCCTGATTTTTTTTTTTTTCTCTTCAAATAACTCTCCCCATAAAAGTCTCTTTATAACACGACAGTTTTTTTTTTTGAACTCCTCATTTGTGTAGTTCTCTGGTTTGAAATACTCACTCATGTCCAATGCGTCGTCTGTTTTTTCCCCTGCGTAGTGGTAGCTGTTGTGTGTGGGGGGGTCCTGCGTTTCGGTTTCACCGGGTTGGATGGCAATCCCCGCATAATCGGGATCGCTCCCCGGGGAGGGGGGCCTACATCCTCCATTTTGACCTTCCTGCTGAGCGTCCACTTGACTTTGGTATAACTCTCCAGGTGGCAGGTCCCCCAACTCACTACTGACGCTCTCTACCGACGTTTTAACTTCATTGCTGTCGTTGTCATTCGAGCTGATGTTGCATCTATCGAGGGAGCTACTCAGATAATTTGGCATGGAGGCCCAGCGGGTGTTTACCAGGAAGGTCTTGGTTACATCCTGGGTTTCTTCCTCCGTGGGAGTGGCACCCCAATCGGGGCCAGCTTGGTCGACGTCGCTTGGTTCTGGGCCTGCCAGTTTTGCGCTGTCTTCCGTCCCATCGCCCGCTTCCGTGTCGTCCTCCTCGTCCGCCCTCATTCCGATGCACTTCCTGATTATCGAGAGGGTGTCCTCCTCCCCCGAGGGGAAGGAAATCAAATTCTCCTTCCGCAGGTCGTTCACTATGCAGTTATACACGTAGAGGTGCTCCATTTTTAGGGCGTCCAGGTCTGCGTGGGGTTTTTTTCTCTCCAGATTGGCTCTCCCCATATGAGTTTTCCCCCGCTCGACTTCCCCTTTTTCGACCTCTGAATCACTTTGGCCAGTATGCCCTCCCGCCTCGTCCTCCTCCGTACTTTGGCTTTTTTTTTTTTTTTTCTTCTTCTTCTTCTTCCTCTTCCCATCATACACCCCTCCTCGCGGCTCACAGTCGTAGGAGCTGCTGTTCTCGTTAAAGAGCCCGTAGTTTTTTGACGAACAGAAGTTCTTTTCGATCCGGGGACCCTTCCTGCGTGGTTGCCGCTGTCGCGTCGGCTCGTCCAGGGGCACGTCGTCGGTCATGCGGTCACTCACGCGGTCACTCACACGGTCAGTCATGTCACGGGTTGGACCATCTCCTTCCTCACTTGCTGTCCCCGCCGCTGTTCCAGGGACTGCCCCGTCGACCACGTCCACCGCCTCCTGGGGGTGGCTCCCCCCCCTGCTGTGGTAAAAGAGACTATCCGGAATGTGACTGATGTCTTCGTCCAAGTCGGCCACTTCAAACATAAGAAGGTAAGGAGCCCTCTTCTTGGAGAAAAATATCTTGCATTCATCGTAATTGAAATGTAGGATTTGCAAGCCACTGCTACTTGCTGTCTGTTCCGCTGCATAGTCGGAGTGTGGAAAGGATGACAGGCACTCCAGTGGAATGCACAATCCCGTCATGGAAAAGACATTTGTGCATGCCGCAACGATACATCTTCGCATCAGCATCCAGCTGTTTAATGAGTAGAGGAATCGGTTAAGCAGCTCATTCCGTATCTCTACATCCGGTTCTGTGGACAAAAGGTTCGAAACGGAGATCATAAGATTGACGAAGTTATTGAGGAGACTAAAATAATCACATCTCCTTTGTTTCATAAAAAACTGCTGCAGATCTTCAATCATATCAAAACTGCAGTTAAATTCTGGGAGGAAGAACTTGGAGGCACTGAGGGGGTTACCCAACTTAGCGTATGTACTGGGAAGCTTCACTCTGGCCCTGGCTATCGAGAGGGCTCCCGAATTGATGATATAGCACTGGGGCAGCTTGGGGGGTGGCGCGGTGCTCGTCGGTTCCCGTTTGCGGCGCTTCTTGGGGGAGGCACTAGAAGGGGCATTTGGGGCGGAACTAGAAGCGGCACTAGGAGCGGCATTTGGGGAGGTACTCGGAGCTGATCCTGGGACCGCACTTGGAGGGGCGCTTTGTGGGTCCCACCGCGTCGCGCTCTGCCCCATCGCCTTGACCTGGCCCTGCACGGCCGCCCCACCCCCCTTCAACAAGTACGAGTTGCATGACCTGTTCAGGCAATTCTTAGAGAGCCTCGTCCGATCCAACATCTCATTTGCTTTGATCCTTCTAATGATGTATTTCCTTTTGAAGAGAAGAGGATGGGCGAGGTTCAGGATGTAGGACTGTTTCTTCTCGTTCCCCGAGGTGCACTTATTGGTAAATGGCTTGCAATTCACAACGGCCATCTCAATTTCTTGTGTCATCTTATGTGCCAAATCTTTGTACTTGGAGGAATTATCCTCGACTATGGAGTGATAAATCCAACTTAGCTTCAATGCGAAGTGCATTGATTTGCTAGCCTTAGAGAGGAGGAAGCGATAAAGGGAAGAAGACTCATAACGGATGAGCGAAATCTGACTCAATTGTGGAAGGTAAAATAATATGTCTTCGTACTTCCTCTGTGTGTAGAGAGAATTCACTAGGTACTCATGGACGCCTTCTTCTCTCCTGTCGTAGAGGTATCTAATGTGAAGATGTGTGTCGAAGTATTCACACCTGAAGAGTCTAAGCAGACTTCCTTCCTTTAATGCATTCTTCGCTCCGTTCGCCTTACTCTCTGTTCTTTCCCTGTCGTTGCTACTGCTGTGGGGGTGGCTTCCCCTTCCGCTGTTACTGCTTCCGTGGTGGCTTCCATTCTGGCTTCCCCTCTCGTCTTCCTCCCCCACATGACTCTCCCTATGCTTAAGCTCGTTTATTATCCTCGGCTTGGAGGAAGGCGATTCGCTGAAAATCCGTGAGATGCTTTCCCGTATCTGTGTGCGCCGGTTAGAGGCACTGGGGGAGGCGCCGTCCGGATGGTCACGCGGATGGTCATGCCCATGCTTAAGGCCATGCTCATGGTGATCCTCATGGCCACGCTCATCGTTACCATCGTGATGATGGTCATTACCGGAGGGGCTGCCACGACTAGCACAATGCTCGGAAGGTCCAGGGACATCATCCCAGAAATGGCGACTCCTCTTCATCTCCTTGTTCTCCAACTTCATCTTAAACATCTCGATGATTCTAATTTTGTTTTCTCTTTCTTTGGGTTGATCCTTTTCGTGCATTTTGTCTTCTTCCCAGCTTGGAGTGTCTTCACTGGAGTGGTCACTCTCAGGTGGCTTCTTCGTCTTCTTCGTCTCCTCCTCCTTCTCCATCTGCTTCACATGACAGCCACTTCTGTGACTCCCGTGAAGGGTGTAATTATCGTCGGAGTGAGTGCAGAGGTCCGAATTTTCCCTCTTCTCCTCACTATCGTGATTACTATGTGGGGGCCCCGCTTGGGAGTATGTCGCTTCGTCTGGTTGGCAATCCGCCATTCCGTCACCGGCCTGGACGTATTGATTATTTTCCCTTGGAGAGTTCGCTTCGTCAATCCTATCGACTGCACCCCCTTCCAGGTTGATCCTCCCTGTGGCAGCGGCCTCCTCGAAGTTTGCACTTTTCCCACTTGGCTCTCCGACAGGTGCGTCATTGGGTGTGACATCATGTTTGACATCATGTTTGCCATCATGTGGGCCATCCTGTGCGCCACCCTGTGTGAAGCCACCCATCGGGATATGCCCCTTTAACGGGTCTACGCAATGCTGCGGTTCACTGCCCCCATCGGCGTGCACCTCACCTCCACGACCTTTTAATCGAAGGCAAACAAAATCATCCGCGTACACGTGCGCTTTGTAGTTGTGTTTGTACAGAGACCTATATGATGTGCCCTCCTCCGGTGCGGAGGTGCCTTTTTCCCTTTGGTCGCATTCTGCCGCAGTTGCGAATTGGCAACTTGGGTCTGCGCCCTCGGTTGTATTGCCAGTATCTTCCTTGCTGGCCTGTCCTGTTCCGCGGTCTGTTTGGTGGTGTGTTTGAGGGTCTCTCTGGTGATCGGTCTGATGGTCTGTTTCGCGATCCGTCTCGCGGTCCATCTTGCTCATTGTGTCGCTCCTTCTCGTTCGTTTTTTTTTCTTTCTGTTTTGTCAAAATGGTGAGCTAACCACGGGGGTGTTAAAACGAGGGAAAGAAAAAAAGGGGTGTCCTTTTTTTTCTCTTCAACTTGGGAAAGTGTGCCTCCTTTGCTCTGTTAGCCTCCCCCAGTGGTATCGCATCGTACCATGTTGTGTGGTGCGCCTCTGTGGCATATTCTGCCTGACTCGGTCAGGTGATGAAGGACATTTGCGGCATATTTCTCCTGACTTTGTCAGATAATATGATACGTGATTATGTAATACACGTTGCCTAACTCGGTCAGGTTATCCCTGCGGATTCCTTTTCTCCTTGTTGCCCTTCCTTCGTCCCTTCGCTTAAACCGGGAGTTGCAAAGGCGCGAGGGGGGCATAATTGACTCCCATAGCTATGCTCTGTAATGTCAACATAACTCCTCCTTCCCGCAAGTGTCACTGATGCGAGCTGTTGGTGCGGATCCTTCGCGTCGCGATGCGTAACCTTAACCTCCAGCGCAGCTGGTAAAGGATATGCAGATCGTTAGAAATTGTTTGGATGCGGCATGTGGGCATACGACTGGGAAAGGTTTGTTTATTTTTTGCCGCCTCGTTTGCTCCCATGCGGTGGAGAAATTGCCTGCAACAGGGTCGCGCGAGAAGGCGGCCAGGGAGTGACGCCGAGAAGAACAGGGGTCTTAAAAGGAAAAAAATAAACGTGCGGAAAGGCATTTGCTTACGAAATGGTGACCTGTTTAATCGATTGTTTTTTTTCTCTCTCTCTGTGTAATTATTTGTCCCCCTCTTTAGAGTTCCTTTAAGAGCTCCTTTTATAGTTTCCCTTTTGGCGTTCTTTCGGTTAGCCGTTAGCCCGACTTTCTACTTCACTGGAGGGAAGAGATTTCGACTCGCGACTGACCTACACGGCTGTGCTTTTCCATGTGCAGCCGCCGTCGAACGTATGCGCAGTTATTATGTCTTTCTTCCTCAGCGCTAAGGCGATTGCCATATGGATCTATCTGGCAGGACGGCACTAATGGCAGGTATAAACTGCACACCTCTTCCCCTACCATTTGGCATTTCTACTCCTCCCCCTCCGTCACGGTTACGCCTGCGTCCCGGGACGGCAAAGACTACACCTAAGAGAGATGCTACAATGTTCTTATTCCGACCACGTGGCCTCCCCTCATGAATACCAGGGTCACTACGAAGGTCACTGCCAACGTCACTGCAAACGTCGCCGCTGCTTTCGGAACAACTCTCAGCGATGTTTATTTTTCCCCCTAGCGGAGTGAAGAAGACCTCCCGATGACCCCAAATTGGAACAGCCGACTGGTGGAGGACCCTCCAGATTTTTGTTCCCTCGGATGTTACCTTCTCAGTTTTTTGAACCACGTCTTAACGGGGAAAGACCTAAATAAACTATTTGAAGTGCCAAAGAATGTGGGAGCAACAGCATGGAGTTAGTACCCATTCGCCTCGTCGTCCGTCTCTTCGTTTGTCTCCTCGTCTGTCTCCACGTCGCTCTTCCCTTCCCCTTCCTCATTTTTCAATTCGGAAGAGGAACACATTTTTATTGGTCACCTGCGGGAGGGAAGAGGTGTATGTACCCCTCGCCATGACAGGGGGTGCCTCCGCGAATGATCATTCGAGGGTATATAACTTTTCTGTCTGGTCTGAAAATTAAAGAAAAATAAAAAAAGAGGAATCTCATTACTGCCGTTACGTAACGCTTGTTTGTTCTTCCCTTCTAAATGATATGCTAAGTTGTGTTTTCTTTCTGCGTCTTTCTTAGCAACTTTATTTTTTTTTTCTCTTTTTTTGTTTAATAAACGAAAGATCGTTCCGTTATTGCTATAGTTGTAGCTTTGGCAGCTTCTTTTGCAAGCAGCCAATTGGTGTGGAGTCTCCACTGGTTTGGCAAGGCCTCTCCATAAGTTTGTAACGTCTGTCCCCCTATACATTGTACCCATCCCTACATGGGATTCATATCCCCTACGTGTCTCACCCTGTCTTTTTCAGCTTCTCCGTGTTGCCCTCCTCTTGAAGGAAAAACAAAATGGGACCCCAGTTCAACACCTTCGCTTCGCCTCAAACCGTGATTGAGGACTCCGTCAAAGGGGAAACGGATTATCTGAACAGAAAGTACAAAAATGAGAGATTAATAAAAGGGGGAAAAAATAAATGAGGAAACTCCCCCCTAGATGAATCTCTGCCCCTTTTGGAGTGTTTTCCCTTCACCTCACGAACGTTCCCTGTAGCATAGGTTGTGTACCTCTGCCGCAGGGGTTCCATTCGCGTGTTTCTTCTACGAGTGTGTCTGATTCATCGCTACCTCTGCCTTGAACTTCTTTTTTCCACTTAAAGCGAAACGCTAGAAAACTATCTGAGTTTGTACGATGAACCCATGAAGGGGGGACTCAACAGCGGAAAGACAGACATGGGACTGAAGGATGATCCAGGTTGTATGCACTCAATTATATTTAACGACATGGAGATGGGAGACGAGAACTACAGTGTGCTCGACAATGTCGATGGGAGCTCTTTACGAAGTTTTCCTAACACTGGGTAACCTTATTATGACGACAGGATGATATTCATTTTGAAATGTTATGTAATTCCACCTGGGATTGTACTTGTAAGAAGGTCCCTCCCTTTCCTTTTGGTCCCTGTTCCCTTCGCAGAGATGGCAGTCTGAGCGACACGGGTGCCAGCGAGACACCCTTCCAGGAGCGCAGGTACGACGCACGTCCGTTGGGCAGATGAACCGATGACAGCGTGACGGCAGGACTTCGTGACAGCATGGCTGCATCACCGCGTGACCGTTCACCCTCGCGTGTCCCCCCTTTCAAAGCGGCGAAGACGCGAAGTGCACACCAGAAATGGAACTTGTCCTGGAAGACAACTTCGAGTAGGGTATTTCAAGGGCTCCTCTCCCGTGCGGAATGCGTGCTATCGTGTCACTCCCACCGGGTTAACACTTCAACCGCTTTGCTCCTTTAGCAGTTCCACTGTCTTCCTGCTTTACCAATTCCACCGCTTCGCTGCAGAGCCCGACACAGTGACAACCTTTTCGAGGTGCACAATTTTAAGGAGAGGCAGAGTGGGTACCTGACCGAGACTCCAGTTGGGCATTTTGCCGAAATTCCAATTGGACATTTGGTCGAGACTTCAATTGGATATTTAGAAAGAGAAAAGGAGGAGTCTCCCCAAGGGGTCGAGGTTAAGTCAGTTGGTGATGCTCTGAAGCTCAGTCACGGTGGTGATCCACTCAAGGTCAGTCACGGTGGTGATCCACTCAAGGTCAGTCACGGTGGTGATCCACTCAAGGTCAGTCACGCTGCTGATCCACTCAAGGTCAGTCACGGTGGTGATCCACTCAAGGTCAGTCACGGTGGTGATCCCCTCCAGGTTAACCACCTTGGGGACACTAGCCAGGTCAGCAACGCGGATCAGCTGGACGATCTGAACATCCTCTCCGACGTCGGCCAATTTGTCCATCAGAAGAGGAACCCTTTTAGGTGAGCCACATGTTGACGTATTCTTCACCTCTGCGATAAGTCCGAGGAACCGTGATGAACCCGCTTAACCGCACTGAACACCGAGGGACCCGTTGAATCCGCTGAACCCGCTGCACCAGAAGCGCCACATGTCCTCCCCTTGGTGGCCCCTTCCCTGCAGCGGTGCGCGTGGAGAACTGCGCCAAAAGGACGACTCCCAGGAGGGAAAGCCCGACACATATGGTAAGCACGAAAGGGGGGGAGGCAGCCCAGTCGATTGGCAGCCTAGCCTTTTAATAACCTACCTGACTGATAACCTAACCGTTTAGAGGTCCATCCGCTTCCCCCCCCCTCTTAGCCCCTTTGCAGAGCGAAATGCCCTACAACGAGTGCGCCCTGACGAACGGCTTCTTCGATACGATTGAAAATATAAACACCAAGGTTGTGGAGAAATACAAAAACTTAAAAGGTGTGTCAGAGAGTTTAATCGGGATTGTTCAGAATTCTGACTTCGAGGAGAGGATAAACGAGATGCTCCGATTCAGCGACAGAAACTCAGCGCTTATTGAGGAGTTCCGCAAGAAGAGCGAGGAGTGCATTCGCCGGTGCCGCAAGTTTGAGACGTCGTCTGAACAGGTGAGGCGGAATGGCGGGCCACCTCGTTCAGCTGCCCCGTTCAGCTGGCCCGTTCAGCCGCTTTCTGCAGTTGCTTTCTGCAGCCGCTTCCTTCATTCGCTTCCTCCAATCGCCTCCTTCCCACTTCTGTTCTTTCCCGCTTCCCTTCCCCATGGCAGCTCGTCGGAGAATGCATTGACACGCTGGCAAACTGCAGCATCTGTTACGCAGAGTGGGTATGCCTGCACGCGCGCAAGGTGGACCCGCTGGAGGTCGTGCTCTCCGACATCCAGGAATTCGTCCGCGCGAATGAATGAGAGGCGCCCTCGCGTAGTGGGCGTGGTGAAGTTAAGAGCACGTGTAGGGGTGAAGCTCATGTGTAGCACTTAACCCCATGTGGAGAAGGTAGTCCCGTGTGGAAAAGCCAAGAACGTCACACATAAGACGCCGCTCTCCCCCTTGCCGCTCTCCCCCCCCTACATGAAGAGGGAACCCGGGGCGCGCGGAAACGGCACGACGTCCCGGATGTTCCCCATGGAGGTGAGAAACATAATAAGTCTATCCATGCCAAGCCCAAACCCCGCATGAGGGATATTCCCATAACGTCGGAGCTGTAAGTATGGCTCATACAATCGTAGATCCAGACGCTTCTCTTTCATCCTCCGCTCCAATGTGTGTATCCTTATTTCTCTTTCTGACCCGCCAACCACTTCTCCAACGTCCGGAAGGAGGACGTCCATACAGGCAACTGTTTTGTTATCCTCATTTAGAGCCATGTAAAAAGGTTTAATATCCTGTGGGTAGTTAGTAACAATGACTGGGGAGCAAAAGTGCACGTCCGTTAGGAATCTCTCCTCCGCAAATGTTAAGTCGGGTAAGGCGGCTGAGTCGGGTGAGCCGGCTGAGTCGGGTGAGCCAGCTGAGTCGGGTGAGCCAGCTGAGTCGGTTAACTCGGTTAAGGCGCCTTTCTGTGTAGGAAGGTCTGTATGACCCATGTGCTCCCTCACGATCTTAACGGCTTCACCGTAGGTGACGACAGCGAATGGTTTTTCCAATACCTGTCGCAGCTTCTGCTTCAATCTCTGATCGTGATGCTCATTGATGTAATCGATGTCTTCCGAACTGTAGAGAGCGAATTTTACCATCGCTTTGATGTATTCTTCCGCCAAAGAGATGATGGATGCTAAGTTGGAGAAGGCCAACTCCACTTCCAGCATTAGAAACTCGCTGAGGTGTCTTACTGTGTTTGAATTTTCCGCCCGGAAGGACTGATTCAGCGTGAACACATCTCCCATGGAGCAGCAGAGGCACTCCAGGGCTAGTTGGCTCGACACGTTTAAGTAGCACGGTTTTTTAAAAAAGTCTCGGGAGAAAGGGGGGCTCCCCTGGTGGGGGTCGTCCCCTTGGAAGAGCTCGCCAGTGCACCTTTCCTCAGTGCTTCGTCCATCCGGGGCAGTTGCATCGGCGCCTTCATTGGGCCCCGTTGCATCACCGCGCCCATCGAGACCGCTCGCATCACCGCTGCTCCCCCTGGACACCGCTTCCGTCCCCCTCTGGCCCACCTCCCACATCAGCGTGGTCGCGTGAAATAACTTGCCCCCTCCCTCGCAGTCGTTGCTCGTCAGCACGGGCGTGTTGATATACGTGCAGTTCTTCTCCCTCCAAAACTTAAACGTCTCCGTCACTATGTCGGATTTCAGCCTGAACACGCTGCTGTAAAGTTTGGTCCTGGCCCGCAGGTGAGGGAAGTTCCGCAGGTGCTCCTTGGTGTGGTACTTTTTGGCGATCGCGTAGTGCTTGCCGGGGGGGTCGCGCCCGCCATCATCGCTTCGGCTTCGCTCCCCTGCGATGTGCCTACTTTTCTCCCCGTTGCTGTCTTCACTTCTCCCCCTGATGCTGTCTTCACTTCTCCCCCTGATGCTGTCTTCACTTCTCCCCCTGATGCTGTCTTCACTTCTTTCCCCATGGCCCACCCTCCCGAGCAGCTTCACATAGTGCGCCTTCGCCGCGTCCTCCACGCAGAGCTCCACCTGCTGCTTCTTCCCCAACGAGCACTTCAGCTCCCCGAAGCACTCCACCGCGTCATCGGTAAGCAGACGCGAAACTTCATCGTAGTTTTGGATCGCCGAGTTGACGACGACCTGCAGATTTTTCACGTGGGATCCATCGTTGATGTCAATAAAGGAGAAGCGATTCTTCCCGACTGTCCTCACGGACTTGACCCATCCGCATATTGTATATTTTTTCCCTTCACTGTGAGTGACTTGGGCCCGAAGAATGTCTTTTATTTTTGTACGTCCGCTTGGTTCGAGGTGTTGCGGAGGGGCGGCACCCTCTAGGGAAGCTTCCCCAGGGGGGTCCCCTTCATATTCCTCACCGTCTTTCCCATCGTTCTCCCCCTCGTGGCTAACCCACTGCGAGCCACTTCTACCATTCAGTTTTGCGAAAAAGCGCTTCCTGACTGGATGTCTGATCCAATCGAACGCCCTATGTGTCCCCCTGGAGATGCACCAACTGTACTTTGTGTTATCCTTAAAAAGGAAGGCAGCTCTCATGAGTGCTCTCCCCCCCTTTGTCCTTCTTCTTCTTTCTGCTGCGACTGCGGCTGCTCTTGTTGCTTCTGCCCTTGCTGCTGTTCTTCCTCCTCCCCTCCGTTGAAGCAGTGGCCCCCTCTGACCACACAACTGAAGAGCTAATGCACTCGCCTCTATTCCTCCTTTACTCCTTTGTATACCCCTGGCAAGCAGCCCAAGAAGAGTGATGGAGAGGGCCAGATGGGAGAAAACGATTCCCATTAACCGCTTGGCATGGTACTCCCTTTAAAGTGTGGCGGCGGTGGTGCTGCTGTAGCGGCTCAGAACCATGTGCAGGTATATACCACAGGACGCTTTTCCTAAGCTGAAGAAATGGGCACCCCCTTTGATGACAGCTTTACATGCTAAGCGGATGGAACTGCTCTTGGCACGCGATCGATGGGTGATCGATCGCTGGGTCGGGCTAATCCAGCCATCCGCGTGGGGTTCCTTTCTGTTCTTTTGGGTGCGCCATATGAGGTAAAATAACCCCACGTGAAG